CCCGCTTGTCAGTGTCATATTTGACAGTAAATGGGGCCCAAATAGGGCTCCCATTTACTGAAATACCATGAATTTCGATCCCCCATTCCAAACGTGAGTACTCCAGGCCATTTCCGTTACAATATAAAACCGCACTACAGAATAAACATGTTTATTTAATCATATCGCCCTTTCTATGATTCTTGCTTTACTTAGCAATTCGATTTGCAACAAAATAAAATGCCTGTTCGCATTGCAATATTTTCAAATGCAATTTCAAGTTCCAACTTAACGAAGCGCCGATGCTTCACTTACCTGCTAACTGCAGGATTAAACTTTTCAATTAGAAGAACATTTTCATTATGTGTTCATCTGCCGTGTCGGCTTTTTGAGACTTAATGATCAGAAAATGGAGGATGGCCCGCCAGTTTGCCGAAAGCTGGTAAGAACGATTTCCAATCTCTAAATGCCTTAGTTTCAACTGAGTTCAATTTTTGAAAAAGCAATTTATGTTCTATGGATTCTCTCTCTCTTAAGTTTGCTGATTTCAAATAAATCAGCTTTGAACAGATTTTCTGTTGTACTAAACACATTTTCTTCTTTTATTCTGGGTGGCAGAATAGAGCTTTTACTAAATTTGGCGTTACTTTGCTCCTAGTTCCCCTACAAACATGTAGATGTAGATCTTTAAGTCCCATATTGCTGATTTGTATTTTATGATATTGTTGTATATCATATTTATTAGACGAGAAACGATGAGGGATTTAACAAAATTAATTTAAAGTGTAACATGTAGCAGATGCCTTATATGGTAAAAATACAGTTACACACGCGCCGTTATAGAGCCTTGGCGAAATTTATTAGTGATGCTCATATGATTAATTCATTAATTCATTCATTAATTCGGGTAGTTGGCGCAGTTCTGAAAAAGAATGTAAAAATAACAACGAAACGTTATTAATTTCGTTTATTTACAAAGCAGAACAATACAAGCACTGAATGTATCTTACTATATAGTATACTAAAAGTGATCAATTGATCAAAATTGGTAAATTAACCGTGGTATTAGTAATATAGCCAACCTCAAATGTATGAGGTTATCGATATTACAAAGTATGGAAAGATATAAAGCGCTCTAAGAACCTATGCGTATATTTTTACTTTACTACTTAGTGTGATTTCATATATTTGGATCTACGAAAAAAGAAAATTCACGATAATTCAGTTATTTACACAGTCATATTTTCATCTTTTTACAAAAAGAAGACATTAAAATATTAAATAATACAAACTCAATTAATATTGGACAACTACATAACATGTTATTAGCACAATACAGATGTCACCAAAAAAACTAATTAAAATTTGACTAAAGATAAAAACGAATGACTGTAAGTATAACTTGCTACGTGTACTGTCGGTTTGAGTGGATCTGATGGAAGAAACATCCTAATTAAAAATTACATACAGTATTTTAAACAATCTTTTGCGAAAAACGCGGCTTTCGATTTTATTTTGTGGAATCTTCATTAATCAATCAAATTCATAAAATTGTGTTGACGAAATACAACATAATTTTTCGATTGTCACTGTAAAACAAAAGATCATACCAGTTAAGACTGTCTACCTAAATGGCTCTTTAGGTAGAAAGTTCTCAGTTTAACGGTTAAACTTTATACCCATTTAATAATTAAACCAAACCCAGTGAAGGAATTGAGACGTCTTCTCTGTCTACATAAATGGCTCTTTAGGTAGAAAGTTCTCACTTTAACGGTTAAACTTTATACCCATTTAATCATTAAACCAAACCCAGTGAAGGAATTGAGACGTTATATTTTTAGTGAACCCTCCAGTGGTTTGTCTGTTTCAAATATAGACTTAAAAAAGTTTTCTAATATAGCATATACATATAGATATTCTACTTGTGAAAAGTAGACCAGCAAGTATCAGACGTCAGACATTGGAGTTTCGGCACAAGACAAATATGTGCGATGTAAAAAATGAAATATCACAAAGATTGAAAGCCCTATAAAAATTAAAATAACAATAATGAAGAGTGTCCTTATAAAATTCACTACCTAATTTGTCACATTTTTACAGAACATTTTAAAATGGATCGGATGGTTGTTTTATAATTAAAGTTACATTATTAAACACAATTTACACTTTATGACTGCTTTTAAGTGCTCAATTGGCTCATTCATTCTTAAACCTCGGTTTCCACTAATGCTACTTTAAGTTAAAAAGTACGGTTACTATTGCTAAGACTACATACTTATTTCACTCTTACATAAATATAGGAAATACTACTTAGAATGAAACAAGCAAAAATAATTGCTTTTAACAGATACAAAGGTTGGTAGAAACAAAATCAATACAATAAAAGCGAATAACGGTTAAAAACAATAATTAACATCTACGTACTATATTCTACATCCATTACAACTACTGATGTAGTAAAGTATAACCTTCAAGTACGGATTTTTTCAAATATTAATTCAGATAAACATGACAACAAGAAAGAATGTAAAGAAAACAGTTGTGACAATTTAAAATCAAATAACGGTAGGTTTCTAGAAAGCTAGTTAGCCCCGATAGGACGATAACATAACGATTCAAACCTGGAGTTAACAATCAATTATACTAAAGCCAAACAATTCCGAATGAGTGTGTTTTTTTGTGGCTTCTAATTCTAAATATGTACACACCCAACAAATGTTTTGGGAACAATAAGGAAATCTGAAGTTAATGTGTTACAGCATTTTTGTTTCAAAGCTTTTCCAAAATTGGAATTATTGATTTTCTAGAAATAAATTATTTATTTTCTACAAAGTCTTCCAGGTACCCTGTAATAAACATATTTAATATCAGAAACATAATCAATCTCAACATAATAAAGTAATAGGCGTAAAAATTAGAAATTAAATATTTTTCCACGACTACTTATAATAATTATTATTCCAAAATTATTCATTGAGTTAATTAGCAAACCATATTTTCGTGTAAAATCAGAGAAACTTTAATTACATTTATCTTTACATCATAGTTGCATTGACTACAATCATGATTAAAACCACGTCAAGTGTAATGAAAGAAACAAACAGTCTATCTACCGGCCTAAGTTTGTCCTCCAAACAAAACGCATCAAATGTTTACTGCAATTAGTTGTTTGATAGTCGTGAAAAAGATACTTATATTATTTGATTCTTGAGTTATGATTACTTCGAAGTACGATACCCGACCGGTGAGCTCGCAAAGCAGTTTGCAAATAAAACATTCTTAACCCTTTCATATTAAATAGTCGTCTATCGCATATAGAACTGAAACAACTGATGCTGCGGATTGTCACACCGAAAATTGTCCGTCCATTCCAATCCGTCATCCGCATAAACAAATCCGCAAATGATTCGTTTTCGAAATAAAAAAAA